GGAAATTGTCCAATTTTAATAAAAAGTATGTCAAATGAAAGATGTACTTATAATGTATTTAGAAAAAAAAAATTTGTGCTGATATATACATTTTTCAAAAAGTTATAGCATTTTTAAGTTGAAAATTTAAAATCGAAAATCGAAAATTTTAACACAAAAATAGTGTTTTTTTAACTACGGCAGCCGTTTAAATGTAGAAAAAAAAGTGTCGGGACAAATTTTTTTTTTTCATTTTGTAGTACATAAAATAAGCTTTAATTTGATATATGTTTAAAGGACGCAGTCTTTCCGGAACATTTTCAAAAATTAAGTTGAAAAAATTAATTTTTGTAAAAAAGTTGCCATTTTAAATCCCCCCCAATGAGCAGGTTAAGTGATAGATTTTCAAAAAAATGATATCAAATGAAAGGTAAATATCTAAGGTTTTAGTATAAAAAAAAATTATGTTGATTTGTTGATTTTTCAAAAAGTTATGGAAGTTTTAAGAAAAAAAAGTGAAAAAATTTCGAAAATTAGCGATTTTTAAATTTGTAATTTTTTTGGATATTTCCCCCATTTGCGGGGAACGAGGGAATTTTTTTCAATTTTTAAGGGTAATGTCTTCAACTAGATACGATTTGTGATCTTTTGACGTATTTTTGAAAGAAATCGGTCCAGTGAGAGCTGAGAAAAAGTGGCAACAGACATAAAAAAAAAAAAAAACACATCATAGTAAAATTAATACCTTCTCCGCTTCGCATCGAAGCTAAAATAATTTAACAAATATATAATATTCGAAAGGAATTTATTTTATATCATATTAATAGAAATGATATTAATATGAAATTTAACAGATTGATATCCAAGTGTTTTTTATGTAAATGGTATAAATTATTGACAGATATTATCTGATAGTAATACCATCTGTTTGTTCCAATTATATCGCAACCCCCAAAACCAGCGACACCTCTGTGTTGATTTTATTTTACTATTAAATGGAAGAGAATGGTATAAATAAAATGTCTACTAATCCATCCAACAGTTTTGTAACATTACTTTTAGAGATATTAACATTTAAAAATTTAGAAAAGAAGAGAAATAGGCTAGTGTTAGGCGAAGCTATATTTTAACCATAATTTATAGATAAGAACTGTTCTAAGTTGCGCAGCTTTTTATCTGTACTTAAAATTATATTAAATCTAAAAGTAATGTAATAAAACTGGTTATCGATCAGTCTTAATTAATTTTAAATTATTCTCTAATTAATAGTAAATAAAATAATTGTACATTCCCATTTAACTTTTAAAAGTTATTCCTATAAACTACTACAACAATGAAGAATATTTCAAAATTTTATAGTAATTGAAACCTATGTATGTGTGATAGTGTCATGTTTTCATTATTGTGAGAATTTATTATAATAAAATACAAACAGCACATCCGCTTCCTAAGACTGATGAATTAACAATTAACATTTATTGGTAAATTAGCAATAATCCAAATTATTATAAAAACCCAAATGACCTGGCCATCTTGGTCAGTAGACTCCAATACCTTGTGTCATTCATCGGTCTCAGTACTCGGTTGTCGCTGTCCGGCTTACTGTATAAAGTCAAGTCTTTGTTTTTTTCTTTTTCACCTACCTACTCCCGTCCTCAATATTTCAGAGTATTTGTGTCTTGCACTTCGTCTGCACCTCATAGCTAGGTGTTACCCTAATTCCATTCCTATAACAACAGCCTTTCGACACCCACAGCTATCCCGGAGTGTCAGCCGAGCACGGTGACTGCTGTACGATAACACGCACATGAATACCTTGACAACATGCTCATCCTTCTTCGTACCCTTTACTCTCTGTTTTGTGTTACGACTTATGACTTAAATTAATTTTCGCCATAGATATTAACGTGTACAAAAAGGATTAAGTGTTGGTGGTTTAAGTGGAGAGAAGCGTCTGGTGTGCAATGCGGTAAAAGAATTCCAATGAGGCTGAAAAATAAATTCTATAATACTATAATGAGGACAGCTATGATGTATGGTTAAGAGTGCTGGGCAGTTGACAAGAAAGTAGAGCAGAGAATGAATGTAGCAGAGATGAGAATGCTTAGATGGATGAGTGGAGTGACTAGAGAAGAGGATAAGGAAGGAACATATAAGAGGGTGTAGGAGTTGTGGAGGGTTATGGAAGATCTCGATTATCAGGGCAAACCATCTATGACTCTTTATTATATAAAAAGTGACATAGTACAATGTACAATACAATAAAGTTATACATGATAATAGTGTTAGGTAGCCACGCGCTATAAAGTCTTATCTACATAGTTTAAGGTACATTGTAGTGACAAAATATAAAAGTTACATTTTTTGAATAATTTAGATGTACAAAATTGGTTACATATTATTTAGAATAATTAAAATAAAAGAGTTTATGGATATTACAACAGTAGTAACGTTTATACAGTATTTTGAAGTTTATTAAATCGTATCAAATATATAGAGTATGAGTTTGACCAAGGTGAACACGAGGTAGGTGAAATTAGGAAATCAGTAACAATAAGCGAAGACATGATAAGAAAAAACATGATTTACTACAATAATGAATAAATGGATGATTGAAGGGACTAGAGAAGACTGGATAAAGAACGAACATATAAGAGGAAGTATAGGTGTAGCGTCAATCGTGGATAAGATGAGAGAAAATATACTTATATGGTTTGGTCATGTTATGAGGAGAGGAATCGGAAGCTGTAAGAACAACTAAGGAAATAATTTTGAAGGAAAATAGGTAGAGGAAGACTAAAAAAGAGATGGAAGGACGTTATTGAATGCAATATAAGGACAGTTGATGTGTGCGTAGATGATGTGGGAGATCGTGTCAAGTAGTAGTATAGGATAAGGATGGCCAACCCCCAGTAGTTGTGATTAAGGCGAGGAAAAAGAAGAAAGATTTTAACGTATATAAAGGTTTCATGATATCTTATTTGACCTACGAACATTTTGCTATTCGAATCTCCTTGATATCTCTACAGATAGCATATTTTGTAAGTTAAATATTTATACACAAATGATCATTTGGATACTAACCCAAATACCACTAGGCGCATAAAAGCAAAATTCACAGTTGAAAATATCTAGTCCAAAATTAGGCAATATATTGACATTATGGACTAGTACATTATAATTACTCCCCAAGCTACTAAAAGAAGTACAATTATTACTACCCCCCTGTAAATAACCCTGTAAATGGATAATAAAACAATATATGAAGAGTGAATGTGTCAAACGTTCTATGTGCCAAAAACATATTTGTTCAGAAAACACAAAAAACAATGGTACACATGGGCAGGTCTCACATATCGAACACCATCTATGAATGCAATTTTGTACAAGTAAAAAATTTAATTGACATTTGAAACACATACAAGATTGTGGCCTTTGGCATATAGAACATGAATCAGAAATAAAAAAATTTTTCACTTTTTTGGCACATAGAACGTTTGCACACATTCACTCTTCATATATTATAACTTAATATTGTAAACATTTACTATACCACACTAGACTACAAGTTAACAAAGCAAGTTTAATCTACTAATATTCACTTTTAAAGAGAAAATCTAGATTACAGATATTCTTACCCAATTTTTTAAATAAAGGTCATCAAAAATAACATTTACTATAAAATTATAACAAAAAAATTTTCAGTCCACACAACCTAAAATAATGTCTAAATACGTGTCTGTTGAACATTTTTATTAAAAATTTTTTTATTCTATTTTCGTTTATGGAAATTAAAATTTTTTTTTATGTGAAAAACATTGCGAATATTAACATTTCTGTAATCAAACCATATTCTATGAATTTATCACAGGGTTGAGAAAATAGATTTTTTTTAGGGATGACAACTTGAGCATTTACCTCAGACTAATTTTTAATTTAAGAACTGGGGCCTTCAATTAGTAATATTCCTCGTTAAATGCCAATTTATCATAATCTAAGAAATTTAGTTAAAATCAATTTTTATTTAATGAAAAAAACATATAATATCCTATATTTAATTGTTCAATGTACAAAAAAAATCCGATATAAAAAAATCGGTTTTAATCGTTTTAAACAGGATTAAAATGTTTTAAACATAATTTATTCATGTTATAAACAATTTTTAAACTCGCTCGTTTCGCTCGCGATTTGTTTCCTAACAACTAAACTCTTTTGATTTTTTACATAATAATTATCATAATAGAACTTTTTCTTTTATTTGAGACGTAGGGAATCCCCTATGAAAAATATTGTTACTATTAATAAGTGATGAACAAAAAAGAAACCAAAAATACTGTATGTCATTAACCATGACAGTCTAGAAAATGTGTGATAAGTCCTCTGAGCTTATGGGCTCCTCAACGTTCGTCCACATCGTTAAATACTTTAAGTACGAATAACTATAAATTAGCTTCTTGTGAATTTATATATTTTTAGTAGTATTAAGCTCTCCAAATTGTATATTGGTAAATAAAAAAAATCTAACATTCATAACGATTATTATAGAATCTCAAATAGAATTGCATTCTTCCAATAATATGCTTTTCACATGGAGCGCTATTCTAGTTTCAATTTATCTACTTGTTCCCAATTATGTATTATAAATTAAAATAATATTTTATCCCAGTTGTTGATTGTAATGTAATATAATGCAACTGTTTGTTGAATATTTTAATACTTTTATTTTTTGTAAGAAATAACAATTAAGTAGTAGGTGTTGTTGTTTGCAGACCAAGTATCACTATATTGAAAATGGAATAAAGCGGCTGTTAATTTTATATTTATTTGATAACATATTTCGGATAACGTTTCTAGGTTCTGTTCTTCCGGGCTTCATAAATGGCAAACAGAGGGGTGGTTCACCGGTATTAAGTATATTTATGTATGTAATGCAACCTACAGAACAGCTGCTACCGACCTGGTACTGAACTGAATGAACTGAGGAACGGTTAGAACTTGTAATCACAGTAATTATTGTTTTTTTTCCTACCGTTTATATACATTTCATCCCGTTGCTCCGCTGCTGGTTTTTGTTGTTTTACCGATGATATTTTCTCGTTCTACTGACCGTGAGCGCCCGTCAATTTACCGGATAGACACAATTCAACATTTTTGTATAGCTATTTTGAGTGAAATTAGCCGAAAAATCTTTCGGCTTTACCACTGCAGTCAGCCAACACGTCCAGTGAGTGGCTGTGCAGGCCGTTCCCTCCAAATCGACTTTCATTTTTGAGACACGCCAAGTGTGTGCGCGTAACGTATCAGATCATAGACAACAAAGGATCGCGGCGACGACATCGGAGACGCCATGCCGCTTCTTCACAAAAAACCTTTCTCTAAAAACCCGGTCCCAAGGGGGCTTCGGGACACAGATGAAGTGTTCTACTGTGAGATGACAAAAGAGATATTCCTCAATTACGAGTAAGTACTCCTGTTATGTTATTAGTACAAGTAGATTGTCCGTCCTCTTTCTCATATTAATCGACTTAACTTGCATTTCGTCTTAAAACATTTATAAAGTTGGTGATTAAGAATTTTTGTTTAGATTTTGAACATATATGTATCAACTTTCATTATAATTTTGTTATTTCTTAGTAATTGGGCTAACACATCATGGTTTTAAATTTAAGGTTATTTTCTTTTTTAGTCATTTACTAATTATCACTATACCAGTGATCAGATTTGATATCTATTAAACTAAAAATGGAATCCTAGTCGATAGTTTAAAACGATTAAACCTGCTCATATATTATTTAATTTAATATAGTTATTCATTATTTGCTACTTATTGTGATTATTTTATAAATGATAAATTAAATTTTTCCTATAAAATGAATAATGAGGAAATCTTAAATATTTTTTTTATGATATTTATCACAATACTGTTATATTGATCTTTACATTATTTAATAGATATCATATTTATTTTATAAATTTTCATAGTTTTTTTATTTGTTTTTGAGAAATTGTATTAAAATATTTATCTTTCTAGTAAAAGAATGTTCGTTGACTATATTAACTATATATTATTTTAATGTAAAGTACTAAAATGATTATATGCAGTATTCTTATTTCAAAAATTTAATTTTAACATTTTTATTTTTTTTAAATACTCTGATTTAATGAAATTCGTTCTAAAATTTACAGGCATTATGTTGAAAGAATTATACTTTGTAACTCATTAGTATGGTCATGTGAAATTACTGGTAAAAAAAACATGACTTATAAAGAAGCTTTAGATTGTGAAATAGAATCAAAAAGAATGTTGAATGATTTTCCTAATGAAGTAAGTTTAATTTTTTTTCTTATGTTAATCATTGAGAAACAATGTGGCTGAGTTGATTATGCAGTAGTGCCTGATGTGCACTGTTTCAAATTTGAGACTTGGTCACAGGCCACTCTGATAGCCGAGTGAGAGATCAGTTAAGTATTTGGAGTTACTTCCTACTCTGGGACGGGTAGGCTAACCACCCATTCCAGAATGTTTATTGTTAAAAAACCTCTTTTGAGAAGGCTACTATGACCTTAAATGGTCTGTCAAAATTTTTTCTTCATTATAATTAATATTATTGTATTTATTTCAGCTTCAAAAACCAATTCTCTTTTTATTATCTTTGACCAAATGTTCTTCATTAAAAGAACTCATAGAACAAATATTTAACTATGTCAGATATCGTTATTTTATATCTGAAATTGTAGAAGTTGCCTTAGAACAAGATCAGTGGTAAGATTCAAATTACAATATATTATATATATATATGTATAATTGGTAGGGATTGATAGGCATGAAAAAATGAGTATTTTAAAGTTTTAATTTTTTTTTTTATAAAACAAGGTTATTATATTATGTTTAAATTTTGTTTTTTGACAAAAAGAAAAAAGTAATACCTTCTTAGCTTCACATTGAAGCTAAAATTATTGTTTATCAAATTATGGCAGAATTTCTTGGGCCCTTCTCAAAAGTCATGCCTTACTATTCCCATCATAAAATCTTACTATTTCATATTAAATCAATTTAACAAAAAAAGAAATCATTAGTTAATCTAATGTCGAATCGACAATGTATACATATTTTTAAATAAACCAAATAGTAGTTACTGATAATTTTTTATGGATTTTTAAGGAAAAAAGCACTAGTTTATTGTTTATAAAAAATATAATTTTTAATAAAAAAAAAATCTAGTAATTGCTTTCAATAAGCTGTATAAATACTTTCTTACCTCCAAGTGATTTTGGAATTACATAGGTCATCTCTGATAGATGGTCCAACAAATATAGCTATAACTTGTTCTACAATGATATTTTTTGTCATATAATTAATTCATAAAATAATAACTTCTTATCATTTGTTTATAAAATAAATTAACTGTCAAAATAAAATACTCATCATTTCAGTCCTTTGGCCACTCCAATCCCTTAAATAATTAAAAATACTAAAGTTTAACATGTTGCCATTCAATTAGTTATATTTTCTATTACTGCAATTAAAGTAATGCATTTTTAAATTATAGTGTTAATATAATATTATACTATTTTAAAATCATTTTGGAATTTTTATTACTGAAAAATAAATATTTCTATTTTTAGGTTAAAATGTAGAGTATTAGCAGTACATTCACCATCAGATCAAAAAGGGACAGATCGGAGTCGTACTCCTAAGTAATTTATCTTAACTTAACAATTTTTTGTGCAAGTTACAATGTATATTTATTTTTAAGGAAATCAAATGACAGTGGTCAAAGTGGAGGTCATTTGTCATACAGTTATGATGTAGAACTTCTTAATAGCCCTTCTAAAAAGGGAAACCCCAATAACGAACCTATTTATCGAGTAGATGCAGTTCAAATAAAAAGATCGAAAAATTGTTTTACAAGAGATAGATGCAGATTTTTTATTACACATAATGTTGAACTTAAAAATGGACTTATTTTACTAAAAGTATTATTTTATATTTTCATTAAAAATAGTACAAATTTTATGAGATTTTTATTTTCAAAATGTTTGTGTTATACATAAAGTATGATAATGAATTATTGTAAAGTAGTTTTGTTGTTTATTTTTTGAGATTTTTAATTTGTATTTAAACTTTCAATATTACATTTTCTATATTAAGTTTAAGTAATAAATTATTATTTTAGGAAAGTGTTGCAAGTCAAATAGCAAATATGAAATTTGAAGATATTTTTAGTGGTGAAATTCCACAATTTTCTGAAACTAAAAAGAACAAAGTATTAGCTAAGAATGGTTTAGTTAAGAAACAAGAATTAATAAATGGAGAAACATCTAAGAAAAATGAAAAAACAATTCAAGAAGTAGCTGAGAAAATAAAAGAAGAAAAGTTAAGGGTTAAAGAGAAAAGAAAGGAAGAAAAAGAGAAACTTGCTAAGTTTATGAAAGAATGGAGTAAGAAGAAAGAGGATCTAGAGTTAGAAGATTTAAAAGTTAGTTTTTTTATTTTAGTTTTTCTGTTGCATTAGATTTTACTTAAATTTCTGCTTTTTAATTTATTTTAGGAGTTACCAGTTGCTAAACCAGTAAATTTAAAAATTCCAAATAAACTTTTTGGCGAATTTGTTATGATCTATGAGTTTTTTCAAAACTTTTGGTCTCAGCTTGATGCAGGCAGTTATTTTCCTCAGGGCTTAAGTATAGAGTTGTTGGAAAAATGTATTGTTGAATCAGAAGTTGCTGGTAATATATATTTATATAAATATATGGTTTTGTTATTTATTTATATTTTAATATAATTTTTAAATATCAAATCAATATCACTAACAAATATTTTCTATTTAAATTTATTAAGTTAACTTTTCTAGGACCTTTGAATACACTTATACAAGTGCTACTGACAACAATATTTGATCTTGAAGAGGACGAAGAGGCTGACATGAAAGATAGTCATATATCTGGCTCAGAACCTGTTTACAATATTTGTGATGAAAAAATTCGCAATGCTATAAAGTATGCCACCAATGTAAAAAATTGGACTATAAATCATCTTGGACAACATTTAAATAAAATCATGTTGCAACCAACTGTAATATCCGAAGTTTTGAGATTACATTTACTATCATCAGGTGGAAAACACTCAGAAAAAATGGCTAAGTGGATGTAAATAGTTGTATAATTGTTATAATTTTATGAATTTCAAATGGCTTATAATGTACTTTTTATAATTAAGGTATCAAGAGAGAGGAAATTATTGTCCTACTGATGATCCTGGGTTTACTTTGAGGTTAAATCGTCCAGATTTATTAGAATCTCTCAGTCATCACCACATTTCTAGTCTATCAATTGGTAATTAAGTATAATATAATCATGTTTTTATTATAGTTGATCTACATAAGTAGTGTTCTTATTTAGCTGACAAAATGGCCATTCTTAATTGTCTTATGAATCAGATTTTGACTTTTTCATCTTATCGTATACAATTACAAAATACTGTAGTTAAAACAAGAAATGCTAGATTAGAAGTTAGAAGTGCAGTTGCAGCTGAGAAAAAAAAATCAGTTGAATTATCTCAAAAGTGAGTTTTAAATTACATATTTATAATTTTGTTACTATTTGTATGGAGCTCTGAATTTATAATTGTGTTTTAGTAATTTTTCCAGACTTATTTTGGTTTGGTCCAAATTAAGATATGATATAATATAATATTAATATAATAATAATATTTTTAAAATTATAAACAACCAAATATATGTTATTCTTTAATTAATATATTTTTATTCTAATTTTCTTTATACATTCAATTTATTTTATTAAATATTTTGTCTTGTATTGTTTTAGGAAAAATTTGAATATTTTTTTAAAGTAATGAAATTGATAATTAGCATATTTTGAGTTAATTTTTATCTTAAAATTGTGTTATTATTTTAGAAAAAAAGAAATGAAACTTCTAAATGGGGATTCAAGTATTGTTGAGTCAGATCAAAAAGCTATTGAAGCAAAACAAAATGAATGGAACAAAAAGTTAAATGAACTTAGTGAGTTAGGTATGACCGCTCAAATATTACCACTTGGCACCGACCGAGCTTTTAGAAGATACTGGATATTTGCATCTATGCCTGGACTTTTTGTTGAAGATTATGAGCCCAATCCAGGAACTTGTTTACCTGAGTAAGATTAGTTATATTTATTATTTACATAATAATCAGGCTATCTTCTTAATTAGAACAAAGAGTTATTTCACTTTTGACAAAAGTTTTTGATAGACAAACTTTAGTAAAAAAATAATTTTAATACCATGGTACAAAAATATCATACTTTTTATAGTCTAGTCACTGGTCATTATAATAACATTATAATGTCACTATGTGACATTATAATCTTAGTAAAATTTCTTTTAAATATAAATTTATCAAAGAAATTTTTATCAATTTTTAATTATAGTGGAACACCTGTTAGTAACATCACAGATAAAGATACTGTAAGTTATGTTAAACGTCTATTTGAAATGAATGAAAAAGAAAATGTTGATGAAACAAGAACTAGTCTTTCAAACATGCCTTTAAAGAAAAAACTTGTTGACAGTATAAATGAATCATCATTCATGAGTAATGGTAGTTTTAGAGAAGATCCAAAAAAATCAATTTACAGTTGTTGGGGTCCAGATAATAATTGTCCTGTACATGATGAAAATCATGATAGACTCACATGGAGCTACTTTAATACACCTGAAGAATTAGAAATTCTACTTGAAAATCTTAATTCAAGAGGTTTAAGAGAAAGTGAACTGAAAAAAACCATAGCATTAGAAAAACATAGAATAATTTCTAGCATGGAAAAGTGTACTAATTGTCTCTTAGATCCTTCGATGGTAAGATCAAATATTAATAGCGAATTTTAAATAAATAACAGCTAATAATAATTTCTTATTTTTAATTTAGACATTTTAGAATTTTATTTAAATATAAAGTTAAAAAAGTACTCCAGGTTTTATGAAAGAAACAGATTTTACTTTGTTTTATCAAGATTTTTTAATTTAATAGGCTCTACTGTAATTCAGGAAATCTTAAAAAATTACTAGAAGTACCTGAAAATAATTTTTAAATACATTTATAATGGTTATACGTTATCTATTTTTCTTTTTATAATAAAAATTGTCAAATTTTAAAATTTTAGATAAATAATAGTCATTTAGTTTTTTAAATTTAATACTTATTTTTAATTACTTAAAGTAATATTGATTTTATGTAAATATAAATTTTTAGATGATAGAAGATGATAAAAGAATTCAAAAACGTTTAAAAACAGAATTTTGTGAATTTAAGAAAGTAAACGTAAAATTTCTCCGCGTTGATGATGATGTTGATACATCCCTAGAACTAACATTGAGAGAATATATTTTAGATGTTGAAAGACGATTAAATACAACAGCTCTTGGTAACCTTTCAACAAAGGTAAATAATTATATGGTATCTTTACATGCCAGGTCACATAAAATTTTGATAATTATTTATATAAATTGTAAAGTGTATATTTGTTTTTTGACTATTAAATTGTTGTAATAATGATAAATTATGTAATTATGATTTTTTGGGCAGTGTACTTTTTTTATTATAAAAGTTGCAACAAAAATTTGTTTTTTTTTTTATAATTTATAATTTCTTTTTAAATTTATTTAATGTAATGTTTTTTATGTATTGCATATGAATATTAAAATTTTTTTTTTTTTGTAATTCAATGTTTAGTAAGTGTGCTTTGTTATTAGATACCCAAGCGCGATGATTGGAGAGATGATATTTTAAGTGGAATCTATGAAGTTGAGGGTCATTTATCATGGGGTAATAGAAGCAAAGTGGTGGTAAGTCATTGTACATAAAATACTTATTTTTAGGAGATTAAAATTAAATATTTTTAAAATAGGCATAATTTTGTAATTGTAAACAAGTAACATAAAAATTAATCATTTGTATTTAATTTCATAAATAAAAAAAATCATATTATAATATAGTAATTTGAAAAGAAATGTTATTAAATTTTATTTTTTATTTTTTTAGAATATTAATGAAAATGAAAAAGATAGTTCACCAGAGCCTCTAAGTAAGTATTTTTAATTTTGTAATATTAATAATTGAAATAAATAATAAGAATACAAAATATTTTGTTTTAATTTTTTAGATTACCAAGATCCTATTAATTATGTAATTGATAATGTTAATATTAACGAGAAAGTAACTAATTTAGCATCAATTATTCTTATATTAGAACAATCTGTAGAGCTAAAATTTTTGAAACGACCATTAGGTAAATTTTTTTATTACTTATAGCTCTAGTTATAAGCTAAATAAAGTTGTTAATAAAATTTTTTGTTTTCATTGATCTTTCAATTCCAGGCTATGATAAAAAAGAAAAAATGGGTGTTTCTGCAATAAATCCCATGTTAGATAAATGGGAGTTATCACTAATGAGTTCTGTTAATTTTTCTCAATTATTTTTACATCTTATAACTTTAGGTAAGTAACTAGTAATAATGAACATTTCATAATTTAGTTAGGTTGTAAGAAATTTTATTTGATTAAGTGTAGTTATAAAAGGTATTATATTTTTAATAGTCTTAAATAATATTTCAGAAGAAAAAAAGCAATTTTTTTTTTGTGATTTATCAAAAAATGAATTGTTTCTCTTGTCTACCTTTAAAATTTTTGAAAATGTTTTAGAGCGTCTAACAACTTTTAACTTTTATTACATTAAAGCTTTTGAATGTACTATAATATAAAAAAAAATTTGTCCCCAAAATTGTTTTACTATATGAAATAAAAAAATATTGCAACTTTTTCCATAAAAATGTTAAGTTTTCAATTTTTGAAATTGGTTTAGGTATGTATCAAATCAAAGTTATTTATATGCACTTAATGATAAAAAAGGAAAAATCCTAACAATTTGCTTTTTATTTGGTTGCTAAAATCTAAAATTTTGTTGAAATATTTCAATTTTTTTTTTTTTTTTAAGTCTCTTTATAAAGAAGAATCATTTCGTGATAGTGTTATTAATTACTATTAAATAACAATCTATACTAGAGTCTTCTATGATAGATGTCTACTATGCTGGTTCCTAACTTTTTTTTGTCAATGACAATATAATAATTTGAATATTTTAAATGTTATTGAATGGTATTCTAATTAAGAAAATGAATGGTTGATAACAACTTTTGAATCAATATTTCAGAAATTGTGACTATTTTTATACCTAGGTAGAAGGAGTGATGCAGCACAGTATGGTGTAATTTTAATAATAACAACTCTCACTTAAACTTCTGTTTATAAATTAGATTTTAATAACTTCCAAAATAATGGTTCAATAATTGTTATCAATTAGTTATTTTCTTAACTAAATAATTTTTTTTATGGGCTAATTATGTATGTTACCTGAAAAAAATTAAGTTAGTAAGAGATAAAGAATGAAATAAAAAAATATTTAACTACTTATTACATGAGAAATAAATACTAATCAACAAAAACAAGAAAAAGATTCTCAAAATTATTATTTTTTCATGTTAAATTTAGTAGTAAGTGTTAAATCAATCACTCTTTATAGATGAAGTTAGTATGTAGGATGTTCATTAAGAAAATGAATTTTTATTGTTCTTATTGTTTTTATAAATTGACCATTTTCTTAATTTTTTAATATTCTGTATATTCTAGTTGAAACTTAATAATAATTCAATATAAATTTCAGAAAAAAGTATTGAATGGTCAAAATCTATTATGAAAGTCAATTGTGTCTTATGCAGAAGTAATAAAGATGAAGATGTAATGTTGTTATGTGATAATTGTAATAGAGGTCACCATATTTACTGTTTAAAGCCTAAACTTAAAGTGAGTTTTTTTCTATAACAATTAAATAATTTTTATTTTAATTAAAAATGTTTTTTGTAGAAAATTCCTTCAGGAGACTGGTATTGTCAAAAATGTAAACCTTTAGTAAAAAATCAATCTGATGAATATGAACCAGAAGAAAAAGTGTAATGATAAATTAAAATTTATAATTCATTTTTTATAGAAAAATGATATGACATTATTAAAATGACAAATGTTTTTTTAGGAAAATTGATATTTGTCATATATGTAAAGAAGAAGGTTCTGTAATAACTTGTGATGATTGTTCCAAAAATTATCATCTATCTTGTTTAAATCCTCCAAAGCGTGTTCCACCTAAACGAAATTGGACATGTTTCATTTGCCGTCAAACTTCTTGCAAAGGTAATTGCATTTTTTCACTAAATTTAAAGAAAAGTGTAGATTGATACATCAACGTAATTACTTAACATATGCAAAACATATCACTGAGCTTTAAGATAAGTATTGTATACTAATCAAACTACAGTGTTTGATAATAAATTTATAATTAATTAATTAAATATAATTAAATTTATTTATAATTTAAAACTTTTTACAATTATAAATTGTAATAATAAGTTTTGTAAATATTAAAGAATACTAAATATTTTGTCAACTTATTTAAAATTGGTTGTGATTGTGTAGTTTAATTATTTCAGGTAATTTATGTAATCTACATTATAGATTTTAAAATCTATTCAATACAACATTAAATATATTTACTCTGAATAGAATTAATTTAATAATTAAAAATCATTCTTTAATTGAAAAATATAATTACTAATCTTACTTATATCTTCTTTTGTTTCTATAGTAATTTATTTTTCTCATTGTACTTTTAAGTAGGAAAGTTTTGTTGATTTGGTTTATTCAGAATTAAAATACTAATGGGGAGTTTCTTAAAATTAATACAAAACTTCATTAAATTTGAACCTGTTAAATGTTATTTACAGATGATATGGAACAGGTTGAGGTTGAAAGGTGTAGCAGGCGAAAGAGCTCGCAGGCTGCCACTGCTAAAATATCTGAATTTGCTCGGCAGTTGTTGCACACAACAGCCAGATATTATGGTCTGTCACTGAAGTTAAAGCTATTTGTTTATTTTGGTGTTAAGACAGTATATTATTTACTATTAACACAGATCCAGAATAGTTTTACTTATAATAAGAATTATTCAATTATTAATTTTGGGATTTTCGTGTAGTTTCTCTTAGCATTTCAATTTGCTTTAAGTATCAGGACAGGAATACTGAATAATTATTTTTGTGTGTTTATACTATATAAGGTGCAACAGATTTAACTTATCTCTTATAACTATTAGTCTATATAAAATTTTAGATTTAAAATACATTTTTGGACTAAGTAAATAAATATTAACATAAATGTTGTCTTAGTTTATAACAACTTAGAATTCATGATTCACTGTATTAAAAAATATTACACTCATTTGGTTTCTTGATTTCATATTTTATTATTACGTTGATTAATTCCTTATTAAAATATAAAATGAGAGTTTTTAGTAAAAAAAATATTATATATATATTTTTTTTTATTACATAACAAATAAGTTATTTAATAAATTTTATATTATATTTAATTACACCATTATTTTGTGAAGAATAATATATTATATTTTATGATTACTTGATTTTAAAGTTAGAAAATTAAAATGTAATATTATAACAGTAAATCTAAACTTAATTATCCAATTTACATTCTTGGATCTGTGATTTAATGAAGTCATTGTTGTTACTAGCAAATAGTAACAAAAATGATCTTAAAAAGAAATTGTTGGTACAAAAATTAATAATGCATGATCTAGTTTTTATTAAACATTTGTACTTATTTTTAATTTTAAGTAAATTAATGGTTTTTTTTTTTAATGTTAGATACATACATTTATATGTAAATGTATATACATATGTATTTAATAGATAGCTTTGAAAAAGAGATTTCTTTAAATTTTATGTTCTTTGATAATTGAAAATATTCTGTTGGTTTAGTTTTGGAATATTTTGTCATTTATTAGAATTTTTAATTTTAAACTTAAATACGAGAATTCATTAATTCAACATTAATTATATAGTTGGAGTTTGATTTTTGCATGAATAATTACCTAATTTCAGAAGTCTTTTAATTTATTAAAAAATTATTAACTTGAGTATAATTTATTAAATTTTTTTTTTACTTAAATAACAGAAGAAGAAAATGTAACTGAGGAAAAAAGTCGACGAAGAGCTAGGCATTCAGAAAATACAACTTTAACAACAGCTGGAGATTTACCGTTAGACAATGCACTATTGCAATTACTTTTAAATCAAGTCATGCATCATCCAGATGCTTGGCCATTCTTACGGCCTGTTACTAAGTCACAGTGTCCAGATTACCATGCTATTATAAAAAATCCTATGGATTTGGGAACTGTTAAGTATAAACTAAATATGCTGTCTTATAGGACAAATGAGGATCTGTTAAGTGATATGGAGCTTATATTCGAAAATTGCTTCTATTATAACTCAGAAAGTTCAGAAGTTTATAAGTATGTTTATAATATTAATTAAACAAAATTAAAATTATTTAAACTTACATTCAGTTATACATTATGATTAAAAATCAATTATATTTTTTTAATAAAAAGAGAATAATTATTATTTATAAGTGTTAAATTAAATGATACTATTTATATAGTCTTGCATGTTCTAACAAATCCTGTAACATTGATTTAATGACTATATTGAGGTGTTTTTTTTAAAAATAATTTTTGTGCTTTTAGATGACAATAATAATATTAACTCTAATAATTTTTAACTTTATTAATAAAATATATAAATTTACAAAATGTATGAAATCTGTATAAAAAATTTTTAAGATAACCATTTTGTAGAGCAGATAATAAGCAAAATTTCAAAAATCAAATACTAGTTATCAGTGATGGAATAAAACACATTTATGTTAACACGCTCATACAAACGTGTTCATTTTATATGATTTTAACACAAAAAGCATTTAAATTTTAAAAAATGAACTTAAACATGAACTCGGTTCTTATTTTGTATGAATGTAAACATTTTGGGTTTGTTCATTACAAAGTTCATTTTTCTGGTTTCTACCATATGAGTTTTTATAAAAATAAATACCTATAATTTAAATTCAATGTTGATTTTAAATGATTTTTTAAGAAATATTATATCTTGGTATAAAAATTAGTTATAAAAATAATTGTTTCTAATTTTGATAAAAATAAAATGTATATTATTTTCATCCTCCAATAACATGTGAGATGATTCATAGTTATATAAAAAATAAAAATAAATTTGGTAAAATGTTTTACAACCTAATCTATGTTTTTTAGATGTGGGGAAGAAGTCTATAATTATTATAAAAAATTATGTCAAGAATGTAACCTGAAAGATTTCAGTGAGGATGGACAATTTGATGGACCTCCGCCAAAGAAATCAAAACATAGTTTTTAATCAATGACATGTTATAAGTTAACATTTAATTTATATTTTTTACATTGAGTCATTAATTACTTGCAAAATTTCTTTAATATGTGGTAGTTTAAAAATATAACTATTTAAAAGATTCATAACGGAATCAATGATAGTGACATACTTACAATGATAGCTTTAAGTAAATTATTAAATTAACTTAGGAATAAAAATTTTATTTTATGATTTTTTTATTTTTTATTTGAAGATGCTTTTAATTTGTAATTGACAAAATAATTTGTGATTCTTTTATTTTTAATAGTTTACTAGTTGTAAATAAGAATTACTAATATTCATTTTAAGTGAAAAATGTATATTTATATAAATTACTGATCATTGTTGTATCTCCTTATTACTTTTGTGATTTTTTAAAAAATGTAATCAACTTTTATAATTTAACAAAAAAAATGTAATATAATAGATTTTTGTTAGGATATTTAGTGTAATATTTAAGATTGAAAAATTCATTGAGGAAAGTACATTTATAAAATATAAAATTTTGTATGTTATGGACAAAATTTAAACTGAATGTGAAATTCGAAGTATAACCTTTACACATTTTTTTAATATAAATTTTGTATATCATATTTTTTTTTTTTTTTAGTAAACAATTAAATTATGTATTATAATGTAATTTTTTTCATTCAAAATACTAGGTTCTTGTTATTTAATTTCTCTATTGCATACTTTGCTGCTTGTATGTATTAAGAGAGCAGTATTAAGTTAGATTTTGATTTAATCCATCTTTATTTTTTACTATAAATGTATAAGTATTTTAGTTTTGTGTAATTCAATTCCTATTTTCTTATTTTATTGCCCAATAATGGTATTTTTATTATCGTTTTTTTAAAAATAGTTATAGTTCAACAAAAATTAAACATGATAACATAAACTAAGAAATAAAATTTGTTTTTTATTTAACCTATGTCTGATATATTTTAACAAGTTACATATAAAAAAATTGATTAGTAATAAGGGTGATAAATTATGCATAAATGTATGAATATAAATTATAAATGATATAATAAACGACACAATTATTTAGGAGTGTTAAGGAATATATGCGCAAACTTTTATATGTTTATAATGCTTGCAAGTTCATATGTTTCAATAAAAGAATTTACATCAAATTGAATGAAACTTTCTTATCTTTAAAAAATGTAAACATCTTCCCAATTAAAAAAAATAAGTTAATATTTTAAAAGTTTGAAAAGGAATTTTCCCCTCATTCGCGTCCTTAAAAATTTGGTTTTACATAAGACTTAGAAACTCGAAAACTGAGAAAAAAGTTTGTTTTATTAGTTATTTGCTTATAACTTAAATACAACATATATGTTATACTTAAGATTTTATGAATTTTTATAATTTATTTTTCAACTTTAAAAAGTTAAAAATAAATTTAATAAAAATTCATTGGCATATATTTAAATTTAGGTATTTAAAAACATTTATACAATAGACTTGCCCAATTTTATTATAATTTGTAAATTTTAATTATCACCTTTTCCGTGTTTTCAAACTATACATAAATATTAATAATTACTATATAAAATAATATATTATTATTTTATTAAATATAAATTATATTTTATTTTTGGGCGTACATTATATTTAATAAATCATCATTATCATTCCTTAGCCTTTATCCCAACTATTTATAATTCGCTTAAATAATGTTCCATAAATAGATAATATTTATAAATTTTATTCATCAGTTTACTTTAGAATAACCAAGTCTATAAAATTAATGTGAATTTATTTTTTACGTTTAGAACTTTTATAAACAATTCATAGTTAACAAAACAATTAGAAATATTATTATTATATAATACCATTAAATAATATTAAATTATCATATTTGAACACTTAAATTATAGAGCTTAACAATCAATCATGGAAAATAAAAAAAGCCATTAAAAAATATTTGGATCTAGGGGTTACACGTACCCCTCACTTATGATGACGTTTAGATAATCATTTATAAAGTCATTTAACTAATATAAAAGATAATATTATTTTTATTTAAGTTTAAAAATTTAGATTCTTCCAACACTAGTTATAAAAATGTTTTTCCAAATAGCACTTAATTTTTAATTAAAGACTAATTCCTTTTTGAAAAGATTAACTCTTTACCAATAATCTGATTTTTACATACCATCATGTACCACCGATTTGCAATCAGTGCAAAATATAACTATACGTCGAATGAATCTTTATTTAAAATAACCCGCTTTTATAATTTGAACATACTTAGTGTTAAAACCAAAACAGCTGTTTTGTAACTGTGGTAACTCGTCAATAACATGTTTGCAGCTACGGACTGAAGTACACATCGCCCTTCATAATTTATCTTCCAATAATGTATTCTTACCTTTCAACGACATGTAAATTTAGTTTTGTTTTTAACGTTTTGTTGAGAAAATTACAAGGTAAGATTTATTCTGATTGTGAAGATAACTTAATTTTTTATAATGCTGTCCGACATTAACTGAAAGCACTTCTATTACTGTTAATAGGTTTTTTATTACAAAATTATCAAATAATTATACTTTTTATTGTTTTATCATAGCCAACAAGGAATATTATATATTATTTTTATTTCTTTCCTTTTAATTTTTAAATCTTTATATTTTTCAGTAACTTAAACATATATTATGATTCATTTATGATTATAAAATTTCACATTATTATTAAGGAAAAATTAATTCAAATACGTTTATTTTTTTTATAGAATGTAAATGTAAATTCGTCATTTGATATAAAATCTATAAAAAAATGTTCAATCTTTTAACAAAAGTATGATAAAACTTATTGTTGATCAGTCTGCAACCTTATATAAGTCAATAAATAATTGTAACTGATAAAATAGTTTTTCTACATATTTTTTACCCATATTTTATAAACTATAATTAGCTATAGAGATAAACATGATTTGTGTACATTTATTAAAAAAAACAATATATATTATATAATTTTTTTGATTTGATAATAAAATTTTTATTAGTATTAAACTTGTTTATATAGTTATAAATAATAATCACATAATGATAATATATGGTGCCAGAATTTCTTAATGAGGCGGAAAGGGCAAGTAAATATTTTCAAATAAATAATACAAATTATAAATCAAGTATTATATATAATCAATAGTCGATATCTAATCTGTAATAATAATGTGACTACTAGTGCAACAGTGGAATATGAAAATAAATAATCTATATTACCTAACAAGACTTATTAATATAATTTTTTATATAGCTGTTGTCAGTTAACAGCAGTTTTCCTAGAGATAAAATACTTGGGATCAAGAAAAGAGAAAATATTTGATTTGAGGGGGTAATAAATCATTCTCATTTCTCAGTACCATCTCTGTATAAAAATGCTATTATCTAGTAATAACTTACTTTAGTAACCCATTTAATATTTTTATAAAAAAATTAATTTGTAAAACCAATTTTTAATAAAAAATAATTTTTTAGAATGTACATGGAATACATTCTAAATTTTATTATTTTGGTAACCATGAGTCTTCTTCTTTTTCCTCCCTTTAATCTCAACTACTTGAGGTCAGCCATCGGTTTATAAATAAATAAATATTAGTATTCAAATTAATTTATTATTTTCTGTTATCTCTTATAAATAAAATGTGTGTAATTATTATGTACACTGTTATCTTTATATTAGTGTCAACTTGTATAGTTCAATGGGTAATATTCTTCTTCGAGTAGGTATAACAATGCTCCGATTGTGTTTTGCTGAATTATATCAGTTTTTCCATTATTTTTAATAAGAATAATAGATCAATAAAAGAAGTAAAAATTAATTTTTCAAATTATGTAATGTAAAAAATAAGCTATTAAATGTTACTGTAGTTGAGACTTAATATAATAAATTGAAGTAAAGTTTTGTTTTAATTTTCTTTTCTTTTTTAATAACTAAATATTTCTAAAATTAAATAACAAAAATTAATACTATTAAAAATTTAGATCAGTAGATTTTTATATCATATATATTTATTTTAACTGAGTAATAAAGTTTCTAGTTGATAACTTATAGTTATTATTATTGAATAAAATAAAATTTAAATTCAATTTTTATAAGTTGAAATATAAGAATCACATTTGTTCTAGCATTGAACTGCAATATTAGAAAAATATTTGTTTTATTAATTTCAATGTTTTTGAGATTTTATTTAATATTTCTTTATAAGTGAGAATATAATAATTTGTTTCTGTATCTAGATGGGTGTTGAAGATAAATTAAGTCGCAAGATGGTCTTTCCATATACATTCACTGCAAAAATAGTTCAGTTCCCTCACAAATTGCATTTCCAACATCATTGGATGTACCCTTGGTTCATTGGTGCTGCCATCTTATCTATGCCATTATTTTATAAGATTCAACAAGCTGGTAATTTTATGTTTTAAAATTACTTATTACTGAGTATAATATATATTTTTATTTCAGCCAACTGTGAAGCGAATATTAAAATTTGGGCTGAAAAAAGGAGACTTGAAGAGGAACATCATAAGCATAAATGGGATTAAGTTAAAATGTAAATTTGTAGAAAATAAAAAAAATCATATTTAATATATAAATGTCATTTCTATTAGTGTTACTGCGAGTTTTTCAATTAATGAAATTAAAAACATGTTACAAAAATTAATTAATAAAACTTTAAAATTTCATTACTTTTTTACATTGATTCTTGTCCACTTTTCACTTACTTTCCACAACCATTCTATATTTTTTTGATCTTTCACTTGAACTGGCATAGGTATTTGTTCAAAGTTACTAAAGAAAAAATGAAGGAAATTACTCAAAGTTATAAATTTTATAATGTTATACATTTATTTTGAAAAAATTCTTTGTTTTTTTTTTTAACTTTATAAATGTTTCAAACTTTATTTGAGACATCAAAAGCTAGAGAGATCAAAGAGACATTTTAGAAAAAATGAAGTTTGTCAAAACAAAAAGTAAAATACCGACTTTTTGATTGGATTATTACAGTGGATTTTTTTTAAATCAAGTGCTATTTACTTCCTAAACCAATTGAATTACAAAAATTGTATTATTGAGAAATGAGTTTTTATCACTTTAATGCTTTCAACTTTAGGTGCCTCAATTATAGTCTCATTGCAATGGTGACATAATTTTCTTTATTTAGTTTTTGAAGTTAATTTTTTAGCCATATATAAGTGTGTACTTCTTATAAACATATTCTACTATAGTTACCTTAAAAATTGTCCCGTAACATTTTCTAATTGAGGCTCTATCGCTGCGTGAATTAATGTTTGTGCTCCTTTTGAAGCTGATTTTAAAAATAACCATGCCATAGGTTTTACAAAGTATCTTGATACACTTGTATAGTAAGGCAAATGTCTCGAAAGATCAGTAGTACAAACACCAGGATAGACAGCATTTACAGTAACTCCAGAATCTAGAAAAAATAATTTAACCACAAATTGCTTTTCAAGCATTATTGAACATATTAGTAATTTTGTAATATTTGAGCTAAATATAGACAAAGTATTTCTACAAGTTCACACAAACATTATTACAGTGGATTTTTTTTAAATCAAGTGCTATTTACTTCTTAAACCATTTTTACTTCCTAAAACATTTTTTTTTAAATATTTAGAATTTCTTTATTATCTATTGAAACTGCATTAACTCAATTGAATTTTGAACTTAAGCACACTAATTATTGCATTATTTTTAAAATTGAGAAAAAATTATCATCACTACTTTTGAAATATTTATCTTTACACTGTCTAAATTAAGCATAGGATCTATTTGAAAACTAAACGTACACTTTTTATTAGACTGGTGCTCCTATCTGTAAGATAAAATACAAGCCAAACATTTTCTTTTCTAAAATTGTGGGATGCTCTGTAGAAGGCTCACAGTAATAGATTATTGCATCAATGTGTGTGACAATGGAATGAAAGACTTTTGAAATTAATTATATATATTTTCAAAACTTATTTTAACTTTTTAAACAATGTAAAATATAAGTAATCATTTATCATAACAAATTATTGTGCTATAAATAGTCATATACATACCTTTCAAGATTTCAGCTAATTTAGTAGTATACATTAGTATGGCTAATTTACTCTGATTGTAAGCCGCTTCCTCATTATATGTCTTAGTCATATTAAAATCATCTTTATTAATTGCACTATTTTTATGTTGAATTGTAGTCACATTAACTATGCGACTTGGGGCACTTTTTTTCAAGCAGTCTAACAATAAATGGGTTAACAAAAAATGTCCTATGTAATTTACGCCCAAATGGGTTTCAATGCCATCTTTTGTTATCGATTGTTTACATCTCATCACTCCAGCATTGTTAATTAAAGCATCCAAATGATCAAATTCTAAATTTAAAGTACAGTATGATTATAAATTAATTTTATTCTAGAAAAATTTATTTTTAATTAAATTTAAGCATTAATTATTCTTTTCAGAATTTAACTATAAACCTTTTTTAAAATTATTAGCAAATTCTCTAATAGATTCTTGAGAAGATAAATCACATTTTCTGCAGTATAAACGTTTGTTTCTTGACTGAAGAACTAATTCCACTCGACTCTATTCTAAGACAAAAATTAAAAATATTTAAAGTAATAAAGTATTGATAAAATTTATAGTATCAATGCAATTTCACTCTTGTTCTGATTTTTTTCATTAAAATCACGTTATGATAAAATTGTATTAAGAAAATAAAAAATTTATACTTGTAATATGAAATTTTATTGTATATTTTATTTATAATTTAAATGTTAACATTAAAATTTTTGTGACAACTTCATATAAAACTTGTTTAACTAAAAAGTTTTAAAACTTAATTCTATTGCATAGACATATTTAACTGTCATTATAGGTTTGTTTGGTTAGGCAAAAATGATTATAGAGATTGAATTATAAAAAATATAGATTTATTTTAAAGCAACAATAATTAAATTTGTGAAAAATTTTTGGTGAGGCTTATAGAAGTCAATCTTTCTTTGTTATAACTAGTAACATACATCTTGTTTTTAGTAAGTCTAAAATATGCAGTAAATTGTAAAAAAATTAGTTAAATAAAATACCTTTTCACACTTTTCCATATCTCGACAAGCCATTATTACTGTAGCATTTTTAATAGCAAACAAACGAGCTGCTTCTTTTCCAAGACCTGTATTAGCTCCTGTAATAATAATAACTTTTTTGGCTGCTGACGTTTTAATTTTATAAGATTTTCCAGTAACTGTTTCTCTAAAAAAGTAAATGATTTCATTCAATTTAGTCATCAATGAGGTTTTCAATCATTTTTTAAAATACAGACTTAAAAATATATGCGCCTCCAATAACCGTACTAAAAGCGCTTACATAAAGCAAAGGTTTCGGTATATTAATCATGGTACGAATTAAAAATTAAAATAACAATAAAGCGTATGCAATAATTTTAGTCAAATAAATTTGTATCACAAATATATTTACAATGTAACAATTTGCAACAATATTTTTGGCTAGTTGATCTTATCAATTAATTTAAAAACTTATCAATATATTAGCCCAGTCAACAAAGGAAAAATGGTGGAAAAAATTCCCAACCAAAATTTTTTTTTAAAGTTGAATGAAAATATAAATAATGACATACTAAAAGTTCTTATTGATTGGAATTGAGTTTTTTTTATACCCTAGCAAAAGTTCAAAAATATGAGCTTTTTTAATTTTTTCAAAAAATATTTAACTTGCAAAAAAAGTTTCGTACAATAGTTGTTAAAAGACAATTTTAAACAAAAAAGGTATCTTATATTTTTTTATTTAAACAAATATTTTTCGAGTTTCATTACATTTAATATGAGTACTATAATTTATTTTCCATTTTTTTCATTTTACGGTTACTTTTTATCATGTTATATATTAGACACGATGTTATAAATGCATATGTGTGTATGTGTGAGTTTATTTATTTACAATATCATTAAAGTGTAGTGTGTATTAAGATACAACCGATAGAGTAGGTAATTAATTTGACGCTATATTTTTTAAACCCAACCAAACGCTAAATTGTACATTTCCAAACAATAATTATATTATGTCAATTGCCACCGGAAATTCTGGTAATGATAAATATAATTGTCATAAAACGTATTGGCCTTTAGTCAGTTGCTGAAGCTGGTAAAAATTGTGGCTGCCGAAAAACAGGGCTTAAATATTGTATTATATGTGAACATTGCAAAGGTCAATGGCGTACAAATACAATAGAAATAAAGATTGAAGATTGAGAAGATTGTACTTTTGTTGAAGATATATTCTATCAAAATTTAGAGTGGGAAAATGAATAAGAAAATGGAAAAAATTTTGTTTGGTACATTTGTTAAATAATTTTATAGAGGAGAAATCCTCCATCGATTACACACTTTGCACTAGTAATGCATATAACTTGTATTTAGGATATAAATAAGGAAATAGGAGATGATGTAGCTTTTGTAATAATCCATTAAAATTAAACACTATCTACAGATTTGCATCAAGGCGTTTTTTTATGATAATGATTTTAATCACTGTCACATATCATCTATACTGCACCCAATTATACACACTGTGCCGGGACACTGCTGGTTTTTTTTTAAATAGCGATTAGTTGAAATAGTAGCAATGGGTTTACTTTAATTATTTCATTATTAATTTTAACAATAGAAGTTATTGAAGATAGAGTTATAACTTTATTTGACCTTTTAAGATTTATATCATGAAAGTTATTATCCACCATTGAGTTTACTAGAACAAGACCAATTTTATACACTTTATGACAATTAATATAATCATTACCAAAATTCTGGCTGGGTTGATAAAAGAGAACATGAGGTAGGTGAAATGAGGAGATCAGTGACAATAGGTGAGAACGTGAATGGGGAGATCGAAAATTTGAAGAAAATTTAGGATCAGTTGTGTAAAAGAGCGGTGGTATTGACGAGAATGTAAGACACAGGATTAAGTGTGGGTGGTTGAAGTGAAGAAAAGCGTCTGGTGTCTTATGCGATAAAAGAATTCCAATGAGGCTGAAAAATAAATTCTATAATACTATAGTGAGGACAGCTATGATGTATGGTTCATAGTGTTGGACGGTTGATAAGAAAGTAGAGCAGAGAATGAGTGTAGCAGAGATGAGAATGCTTAGATGGATGAGTGGAATGACTAGAGAAGATAGGATAAGGAACGAGCATATAAGAGGAAATATAGGTGTAGCGTCAATCGTGGATAAAATGAGAGAAAATAGACTTTGATGGTTATACAGGAGGTAGTTAATGAACTGCTAATATACATTTTTTTTTCTATGTAAAAAGTCTAATTAACGTACTAGCACAGGTGATTGATTAACTATGTCCCACGTAATGCCTTTAAAAGTATAAATCATAATAATTTATTCTCCATTCTATAATCTATAATTTAAAAAAAATGGTCCTATCTCTCCTCTTTCCCCTTTAAATTAATAATAACTTCATTTTTTTTAGATGGAAACATATGTTTAATTTGCTTAAAAATAATAAAATTGTCAAAAATTAGTTTTATTGAAAAAAACTGTATAAAGTATTATTATTGTACAATATTATAAGACATTTTCAATATTTAATATTTTTATGTAGTTACAAAATAAAACAAATGCCATATGAAGCTAAAACATATTTTTATTTTGATAAAATTTTTGAAATAAATACTTCAGGTATATAATTATATAAGATAATTGTTTAGTATTTTTAACACTTTACTCTAACCATTGAAGGTGAAGCACGTATCTATTTATTTTAATCTCTATTAATTTATGTACCGCACTAATTTTCGAAGTACATCTTATTTTTCCTAGCCTTAATCACAACTACTGGGGGTTGGCCATCCTTATCCTATACTACCACTTGACACGATCTCCCACATCATCTACGCACACATCAACTGTCCTTATATTGCATTCAATAACGTCCTTCCATCTCTTTTTTAGTCTTCCTCTACCTATTTTCCTTCAAAATTATTTCCTTAGTTGTTCTTACAGCTTCCGATTCCTCTCCTCATAACATGACCAAACCATATAAGTATATTTTCTCTCATCTTATCCACGATTGACGCTACACCTATACTTCCTCTTATATGTTCGTTCTTTATCCAGTCTTCTCTAGTCCCTTCAATCATCCATTTATTCATTATTGTAGTAAATCATATTTTTTCTTATCATGTCTTCGCTTATTGTTACTGATTTCCTAATTTCACCTACCTCGTGTTCTCCTTGGTCAAACTCATACTCTATATATTTGATACGATTTAACAAACTTCAAAATACTGTATAAACGTTACTACTGTTGTAATATCCATAAACTCTTATATTTAAAAATAATTAAAAAATTATTATATTGTAATAATTATTACAATAATTAGTAATTAATAATGAGTAAAATATTATATTATTAACAAAAGTAAAATAAACTATATTATATAAATATTTAACATTTATCGAATAATGTTCCATTAACATTTCTAAAATCAACTTTTTTGCATCACCTTAGTGTAAGTATCTGGTTTATGATTATGATAATTAGTGATAGATAAGTAGTTTTTAAGATTTAATTGATCAAATAATTAAAGTGATTTTATTAAAAATTACACCTATAACGGACATTAGCTATAGGATTTAAAGGAATGTGAAAGCTTTATGGTCTATTAGACATTTTTAGACAAAACTGGTTCATATTGGATAAATAATGTTGTAAATATGCCTGTCAAATTTTTTAGTTTTTTTTACTGATTCATAAAATAAGAGGTTGTTTGTGGTTTAAAATTTTTACTTAGCGTGACTAAGGTTGTTTAGTACATACTGTTATTATACTTTTTTTTTTGTGTTATCTATATCGCTGGTCATCGACTGTTTTTGTGTTCTTTAAGTAGTAAAAATAAAAACTAATTGATGTAAAAATTTCAAGACATTTGAAATTGTGCATAGGTATCATTGTTGTGTTTTATCAGGTTCGTGTGGATTTACGATTATAATTGTAATTTTTAGCTTTGATGCAAAGCTGAGGAGGTATTAACTTTACTACGATGCGTTTATTGTTTTGTTTGTAGATTCTTTTTTTCAGCTCTCACCGGACCGATTTCTTTCAACAATATGTCAAAAGATCACAAGCCGTATCTAATTAAAGACATTGCTCTTAAAAATTGAAAAAAATTCTCTAACTCCCTTTAATTGGGGACATCCCCCACAAAATTACAATTTTTAATGTTTGACAAATTTTTAAATTTTTAAAATTTTTTTTTTCTTAAAAATGTCATAAATTCTTTAAAAATAAATGAATCAAAACAAAAATTATTTTATAAACACATTTGGTATTTCCTTTTCAAAGTATTGTTTCAAAAATTATTATTGACCAGTCATTTTATAATAGTGATTTGTAATACTGTCAAATACTATCTATACTTGTGTTAATTATGCCACATTTTTACTGTGCGACGACCCCACTGTACTAGGTTTTTTAGCCCCTTTCTAATCACTCTCTTTTTTTTTTAAGTTGTCATTACCACCATTTGTTGTACTATTGTAAGATCCCAATTTTTTTAAGATTACGTGAAAGACAATATTTTTAACTTTACCGCCGTCTTTATTAGAAACCAATTGTATAGAATGGTGGCAATAAAAAAATGAATAATAATAACCGTTACAAAAATATCCTTTAGTGAATTTCTGCACCAAGTCGTCGATTTAAAATTTGGAATGCTTTCTAGGAAATACTTAAATGTCTCAAGTGGCCCAAAATAGGCTATTCTCATTCTCAGATGAGTTGTATCAGCTACCGAGAAAAATTCTTGGTAGGCCTTCGTAATTAGGGTCTGTTTGTAAATATTTGTATCAATATGTTGATTCTATTTTAGCCATTTTCTATAAGCTATTGTCAATTTTATTTATTTCTCAGTAACTTCAGGAATATCTACTATGGTATATTTCTTAGTTAGTATTTATGAAAACAAAATGATGTTTGCATCTTTCGGTATATTAAACACATATTTACACTGTACTTATATTTATAGTGTAATGTACTCGATCACTAACCATTATTAACAATAACATTGTTTGTTGACAACTTTCGACCCTCTAATGAAGTACAATATACGGTAAAACTATATTATGGTACTTATGTGTTTTTGGTAACACTGATTGAGCCTTTGGTAGGTCCTGGCGGTGGCTGCGGCCACCACAGTAGCTTTAGCAGCTTCGAATCAAGTTGTCGACACCGCTCACGAACTTGCTTTTTTAGTTAGCCCATGCACATTTGTCTTGATTTTATAGCGATTTGGTCTTTAACAAAAATTTACGATTCACTAATTTTAAATGCTCAAACAATTATTCAATTATATTTTATTTAAAAAAATTACATAATTTTCAATTTTCTCCGTCCGTGAATACTTGTAAATATTTGTTAACTTATGTTTTTATAAACAAATATTACGAACACTAAAATTAAAAAAATTTAAATACAGGTGAGTTTTATAAAAATATATTTTTATAAAATAACTTATCAGTTTCATATCGTAGCTAACATGTAATTTCGTTTAAATTAATTGTATAGCTGAGAGTGATGGAATAAAAATCGTGTTGCTCATTTTTAAAAAAACTTTAAAGATGAAATAAAATGGATATTTTTCAAGTTTACTGAAAAAAAGGAATTTTAAAAAAAATTATTTTCAATGCCCATTACTAATTTTTTTTCATTTTTGTTGGTATTTTATATTTAATATTAATTATTATTAAAATAAAATATTGTAGATATCATATTATTGTATAAACGTCTTTAATAATAATTTATGATTAAGTATTAAAATTAAAAATTTTTCTACATGTTTTTGAAGATTTAAAACAACAATGAAATACAGACAAAAATGTTTTATTTTTTCTTGTTGTGTTAGCCATAGTTGTTTCTAGTGCATGATTACTTGTTGATCACTTTTAATGTTAAAGAAACAATAACTGTTTTTTAGAGTTTTTCAAGAGAAAAATATTTTAAATTGTTTATGATAAAAAATTTCCTCTGCTTATCTGCAAATAGTCTTTAAAATTTAAATGAGTTTCTCTTGAAAAAAAAGTTGAAAAACGTTATAAATGTTTTCTAACTTACTATAAAATGTAATTTTAATCACAAGTTTCTAAATATTTTTGTAGAATTTTACTATTATGAGAAAAATTATACAAATTTTATCCCGTTTTTTGAAAATTTATTTAGAATACATAATATGTAATAATAATGTTATAATATGTATTTATATATAATATTATTATATATATTTTACATAATATCCAATATATACCAGAATCTGGATTTGCATTAATTCTCTTTTATATTACTAATTTCTGACTAAAATTTGCAGTATCAAAATTTTGAGTTGTAATTAGTTTTAAAACTGCATGTAAAAATCAGAAGTTATTTATGATGTTTAACGTAAAGATTTATCGTTAAAAATATTAATCGAATTGTTTAATAAAAAATTATTATAAAAATTAGATCGATCGAATAATTTTATACGCATTATAAGTAAATAATGTATTTTCTATTAGTGTTATTGAAAAAATTTTCTTTCTTTGTTCTTTTCCAAATATACGACAAAAAACCTGAATTAAAACTGGATAAAAGGAAAATTAATTAAAATGTTTCCCTTATAATTACAGCTGGTTATTTGTTTGATAGATTTAAAATTTACCGAAAATTTCTCTTCACAAATTTATTTGTATACGTTCTTTTGTTTATTTATGAGGACATAAAGGCAAAGATAAGTAAATCTGTGGATAGTTGATATGTTTATATAATATCCTATTTATTAATACAATAGAACGAAAATGTGGGTTTGTCGGTGTAAATATATTTTGGTTTTGTTCCAAAACTATTGTGTTACCTGAGAGATAAATAATTACCGGTTGAATATTAAGATATTGACTAAAACAATCTGGTATAGTTAATAAAATGTTGTTCAAATTTTTATATAATAATCTTTTAAAAGAAAAATAGTAATAAATATTTACTGTTTTAGATAAAAGTTTTTTTTTATAATTGTATTAATTACAGTTATGTTTAAATTATACAAAAGCTGTTATGTCACTTTTAGTCATTTTTCAGGAGAAAATAATCATCCTGATAAATTGTTTTATACATTTTTAAAATATTCCTGCAATTTATCTCAAAATTTTAAAAAATTAATTTTTGTAGCACATTAGTTTAAATGGAATATACAAATTTAATTTAAGTCTTCTTAATTAATTACTTTGTGGATCTCTATGATACGTTCGTTTTGAACTAAAACTTTAATGTTTAAAAATTAATATAACTGTTGTCTATTCCACCAAGATTTCCTATTTAAAGCTTAAATACTTTTTATCTAGTACAGAGCTGGATATAGGTATACATTTCAGTTGGCTCTGTAAAGTTGTTCTTAAAAATATATTACTTAAACGGGCGTATAAATATTTCATCTTAAAGGATGACTGATTCATTACACGGTAGAAAAAACGATGTAAACATTACTTTCGGAGTTATAAAACCATTGGGGTTGTTGGCGTTGTTCCTAAATATGTACAAAAAAAAAACTATAAGAACCCTTGTCTATCTAAAACTTGCGGAAACGAGACCCTTTTAGATTACTAATTGACTTCGTTTTGCCTACTTTACTTTCTTTTATATTTATTATGCGTTGTCTAAGCGGTTTAAACGCCCGTCATACATTTTCTTTGAACTTTTCCAACAAGAATGTATATGGTTAGGACGCAGGCGATAACTAATTTTTTTTACAAAAAAACACTTAACGGCTTTTGATTACTTTGAGGTAATATAGGTAATTAATCTACTTATCTCAATTTAAAAATAATTTATTTTTGAGTATTTTATTATTAAACAACGCTAACATAAAATTTTAATTACTTCAATAATTTAAAGCTTCCATTTCATTTAATTTTGTATGATATTAAAAATGTTTTAACTTTTAATTAATGCATTAAAGTATTTGTTTTTATATTGCTAATCAGATATGGTAAGCTTATTTATTTACTTTGCAAATGCTCTAAAGCCACGTTTGTAAATTTATGTCAGACAAAAAGGAAAGTGATTCAGGTTCCTATTTTTCCTGTCGGCTTTCCCGTATCTTTCTTTCTTTTTATTCAAGGGGAGCATTGTACGTGCTCCCAGAATATAATTTTTTTTAGGTCGCTAGAAAAACGTTTTTTGTTGCGTAGGAAGTTTTTGAAAACAAAATATAATATTTTATTACTGTTTGCCATTAACTTATAAAACATAAATCTTATTAAAATAATAAATCATATAAAAGTAAGAATTTATTGTATTTTATTTTAAGTTTATCGATTTAAATTTATATGGGTTGCATTTTTTTTTTTTTTAATAGTGACTCATTTCTATCTTTGAGATATTTTCCCATTTAATTTTGGCATTCATTATATGAAATTTTCATGAAGAAAAAATCCATTAACATTAAACATTTTTTAGTGAGTTCATTTTTTTTAGGGAACAAAAATACAGATTATTTTTTAAATTTCTGGAGTATGATGAAATATTAAAGGATGCTGAATATTCTTCCCTATGACTACCTCTGCTGGGAGTAGGTTCAACATATAATTTATGCTAGAAATTTTTAAAAATATAAGGGTTTAATATTGTATGTATATTACAAATATAATGGTAGGGCTATCCAAACCTATTCGGGAATTTTTTACTATAAAATAGTTATAAAATATATAATTTAAAATAAAAAAATTTCAAAAGAAGAGTTTTAAATTGAAAATTTTATTTTCTAAAATGTTGAATGTAGCCTAAAACTTAAAAAAATGTTTTAAGACCCGAACATAATTATAATCTTCAAAAACAAAGGCTTCAGTCTCTGGTTTTTATAGATTTTATAGACTTTATGTGCTACAATTTATTAATAGATAAACAAGTATTCAACCATACATCAATGACATGTGTCAATTCATTTATTTTGTTCAAATATATATATTATAATATATGATTACTTTTACAGTTGCCCCAATTTCATACAATAAATGAAAATTGGTTACTTTAACACTTATAACATTGGTTAAATTATAACAATATGGATAATGTATTAAATTTTGTATGAAACTTGTTCTATTAATTATAATATATTTTAGATGAACTACAATTGACATGTAAAATGATGACAATTTTCGAGTATTAATGGCATAGGCTAAATGATGTTACAAAAAATGCAGAACTTCACTGCCAGCAAAAGACAGACTGCAAACAGTGTCTTGAAGCACCTGTAAACAGTTGGGGGGCCACCGTGCGATGGCAACGCCCCCCGACAGCCCGATCATAGAAGATGTAACACTCATTGAGCTTGAGGAGCAATTATATAATTCATCTGCTTTCCAGCACGCTAGGCCAGTGGCTTTAGAGGATCTTTGTCGACAAACTAAATTTACTAGACAAGAAATTCGTATTATGTATAGAGGATTTAAACAGGTAATGAGATAATATATCAATATTCAGTAGCTATTCTATGGATATAGATTTTAGTTAGATCAATACTATTTATGAAGTGTAACACACAAAGTAAATTAGATACATATATAAATTAATTAATTTTCTATAAGCTCTATTCTTTCATTTATCAACTTAGAAGTAATACACTTAAATCATAATATGTTTCTATACTTACTTAAATAATCCTTTTCTTATTTCTTGATACTGCCAAATTGTACCTATTATTGAAAAATAAACAAAGGATTTTTTAAAATATATTTAATATTAAAAATACAAAGAACATTTTGTAGTAATTTATTATAAATCTTACCATTAAGATATTATTTTTTGATATATCTACAGAGTGATTTTTTTATCATAACCCACTCAATTACTTGCAGAATAATAATAATTTAAACATTTTTTTTTTTCATTATTTTTAGTTACACATTATTCTTGAATTTTTAACTATGTAATACTTTTTAAGTTCATCCCTTATGCCTTGGAAGGGGGTCAACTTTGTTTTTTTAAATGGTAACACATATTTTTAATTTAATAAAAAATGTCATTTGAATTTTTAATATAACTTAATTCGTTTATTAGATATAATTATTTAAAGTTTCCAATTTTTGAATTAATATACAGGTATAATACACAAGGGATTACAAATATAGGTAGCTAATTGTTTTTTTATAACATCGATATTAGCAGGTACACATCATTGTTATTATCAATTGTAGTAAGGCACATTGCTATGAGTTTATAAATACACTAACTGACAATACAGAAAGTATATCTATTGATAATCATAATTGATAATAAACAATCCGTGACTGAGACAGCAATGTCATAAAAATCCAATTAGCTACCTGTATTTACAATCCCATGTGTATTATACATGTATATTAACTCAAAATTTTGAAACTTTAAATGTTTATATCTAATAAGCTAATAAAGTTATATTAAAAATTCAAATGCCATTTACTATTAAATTAAAAACTCAAACATTTTATTAAATTAAAAATATGTGTTACCATTTAAAAAAACAAAGTTGACCCCCCTCCAAGACATAAGGGATGAACTTAAAAAGTATTACATAGTTAAAAATTCAAGAATAATGTGTAACTAAAGATAATAAAAAAAAAAATGTTTAAATTATTATTATTCTGCAAGTAATTGAGTGGGTTATGATAAAAAAATCACCCTGTATAATTTTCGTTTATTTTGTAAAACATATTCTAAATATTCTCTAAAATTCAAAGGAAGTTTATACTAATAATTATAATAACTGAATAGATGACCATTGTTTACTTTTTCGGGTAAATCGATGGGTATATTCAATATTATAAAAAATTTCAAAATATTTCAAGATTCTCCAATTTATTATAAGTAATCATGTACACTTTGCTTAGCTAAAATAATGATTTTTAACATATTCGCAGTAAAATTATTGATAATATAAATTACCTTTGTAGTATCAGTTAAATATCAGTTAAATACTAGGTCCAATGCGATCAAAACTGTCAAAGAAAGGTACATAAACCCATTAATAAACTTAATTAGCCGTTATGACAGTTGCGCTAATATCATTTTCAATGTGTTATACAAATGGCATATAACGAATGGCGTCATTCGTTTTTAATGAACTGGAAATATACTGAGTTTATCGTCATTTTTCATCAGCTGGTGAAAACTTACCGTCGTCAGATTAGTCCTAACGTGAATTGTGTTAGACAACATTTTGCTGTGTATGCCGGATAGTAAAATTCAACTCTAAAACACGAATTTGTAAAACCAAAATTGTCTGAAAACATTTCTCAGTTGTGGCGAAGTAATTTAAATACAAATATATACGCTATTTAAAAAATGACATCATTAAAAAAAATTAACTCTGCGCATTTTTTATTTAGAGGTCTTAGCAAAAATAAAATAAAATCTACTTAAATGTTCTTTTGGTATTGTCAAAAATTTATTGAGATATTAAGAGACGATTAAAAATGAATTTATAAATGCTAAGTAATTTTCCAAATTTCACTTAGTTAGATTATTTTAGTTTGCTCGTTTGTATATTTGTCTTTATACGTTAACTAAATAATCCAGTTTACTTAATTTATAATGTTTTTTCATCATAGCACTTTGAGTTATAATCTTATGGCAGGCACCGCGATTTTGTACTGGGTCATTCTACAAAATCATTAATGTTTGCTATATATTATTATGTACTTACAGTGCTCTGCATTTTGTATTATGCTTAATCATAATAATGACTTATAATGGTCATGATGGTTTTCAAAATTGTCGCCATATTGTATTATTGTTATTCGCGATAGTTAAACAGCAGAGTTTATGGTAAATTTTTATTGCTCTGAGAGACGATTACACGTCTAAAGAAGACATTGTAATATCTCACTGTAACGGCATGTAATTTGAACATTCACTAAAAAAATATTTAGAAGTATGATCAATATATTTAATATCGCTATATATCAAACCAGTGGCTTACTCAGGATTTTCTAATAAGGGGAACTTATTTTTGAAGACTTTTTTGACTCATTACTTTCACAGTATAGCTTATAATTTTTACAAAAAGTATTTGAGTAATATTTATTTTATTAATATAATATGCACAATGTGTAGCATGTATTATATTAATGTTGTTCTTTCAATAGTCAATAAAAAAAGTATACTTTTACGTAAAGCTTAGCCCTTTGAGCATACCACTGTACCAAACCGATACAGATGTTCGTAATAATATTGCACAATATCTAAAATGTATGGAATATTATAAACATTTTTAATTTTAAAAATCTAATAACATCGAAAAAAATCAAAATGAAAACCTCTTTAAATATTCCATGTGTAATAATTCAACTAAATATGTAAAGGCAATTTTATTTAATATTATTAATAATCTACATGCCTTTTTAGTGAAAGAAATCAAAATTGTCCTGGATTGTTCTCGAATAAGAATACAGTGGTTTTTTAACTTTATACCCTAGTGGTTAGCCCAACGCCGAATAAATGAATGACTGTTTAAAATATAATCGTTTTAATATCATATCTATTATTTTTTTATTTTCTATTTATGCTTTATTAAAATATTTTCATTCAGCTAGATTATCATTGTTATGAATGCCATTAGTTGGCCTATAGCATATACAAAATAAACAGGGATTTAGTTGGCTGTTACCATAGCAAAGGCAATCAAAGATAAGATATTATTTTCTAACAGTGTCCTTTGGAATCCATTTCTCATTTTGGATTGGATGCTGCTATTTCCTTTCAATAGTGAATCGTAACATTTATATTATTTTCTGTAGAAAATGCCAGTTATAACAATATAAACCATAAATACATTTGTACTTTGGGGATTTCCTTTAGGTATTTTGTCATATTAATTATAATAGCTTCATTATATATTCTCTTGTCATTCTTTCTCTTGTCATATATTAATAAATATTTGTTTAAAACAAAGGTTTGTATCAGAAGCGGATTAGACTTTAGAATGATTCAGGATAAAAAAGTTTTTGGCTCTTTGCATGTTAGATCAAAAAATTGATTACGAAAATCTAAAACTCTAAACTTTAGGATCTGGTGCAATTAAGAGTGCTTTTTAAAGAATACAATTTAAGGGTTGTTTTTAATAAAGGCAATGTCGGGTCAAGCTATTTGTAGGCTCTAGGCACTAATTGAAAAAAAAACTTTTTGTAAGATATCTCTTTTCGAGACCCCTTTAATTGAAGACATTTTTTTTTATTAAAAATGTTATAGTAACCAGAGTGCAAAACAAAAAAATAATCTATAAAAAAAAATTTAGTGGTTCTTTATTCTTGTAGTCCCTAAGTACAGGACTTTAGGTATAGTATTCAATGGATAATACGAGCTCTGATTAAAGGTAAAACTATTCGATTACCTTAAAGTTTACTCAAACTCGAACTCGAATTTACGACCATTACGTATCTGTTTACAATTGACATGTATTAATATCACAGTTTAATAAATAATACAATTTTTTTAGTTGTTTAAAATATTTAGGTGGATTTACTATGAAATTTTGACACTTATTTCGAATCTGGATTTAAAATTTTCCCATCATATCTAGTTTTTGAGTATTATTAATAAAATTTCATGATATTTTTAAATTTTTGAAATAAGATTGTCTAATTATAAAAAAAGTCACAAATATTTTACAAATAACGATTGGTCACTCTGAAAGTAATAAAAACAACTAATACATAATTGTCTTACGTGAAATAAATACACTATTGTAATAAGCATAAAAAAATATAAGAGATTGTACTTTTTTAAACTTTTTCACACTCAAAAAACTGCATTAAATAGACTTATCAAAATAAAATGTAAATGTGTTAGCTTTTCGTATATTTTTTCTCATAATTGCAGTTTTGCTGGTTATTTTTCAAATCGAATACAAAAAATGGTATATTTGCACTGCTCGCAAAATTATCAATCTATTGGTACCAATTTTAAAATTATGAGATTAACCTCAAAAAAGTTGAAATTGACAGTGTAGTTTTTTAAAACTGCCATCAAACTTCTACTTCAAGGCCTTTAAAAACAGTTAAGCTGGCAGATCAGTTTTAAATTTTGAATTACTCATTTTTAACATCATCATATTATATTATGAAAGTTTAAAAAAAAGTTATTTTTAACTTTTATAATAACTTGTTTAATAAATGCATAATGACGAATTAGTAATTACTACCACAAAAATTAGATGTGATAGAAAAAAATTGAAAGCCTGATTTAAAATCTGCATAGAAATTCCACATAGAATTTACCTAAGTGTTGTAAACAGTAAGGTGACTGTTGTCTTGAACATTTAAAACAATGAGAATTGAATTATATAGTAGATTATTTGTTATGACTAATTCAAAATCGACTAAATTTTTAGGATGTATTGTGTTTATTATTTATTAAAACAATAAGATAGTATTGAATTTCTAATTTTTTAAATATCCATTAGAAATTTATGTATTTTC